CCTGCTTCAGAGCTTCGGTGCACACGCTTTTCTCCTGGAAGGGACAGTCTTCCCAAGATTTTGTCTCTTATTTCTCAGTTTTGCTCAAATGCCTCTTGCTCAGAGAGACCTTTCAGAGCCAGCCTGTCTGAATTAGCACTTCACAACACCTCCCAGTCACTCTCTAGCCTTTTATGTTGGTTTATTTTATAAATAGCAGTTATTACTCTCTGAAATTATCTTTATATGTTTGTATGCTCATTATGCATCTTCTGCTCTGTCTCCGAGGATAGGGACATTGTTTTGTGCACTGGTACGTGCTCAGAACCCAGAGTGGCACCTGGCATCAAGTAAAGGGGTCACTAACTACTTGTTGAATTACTGAATGAAAGCCCTAGCCCCCACTGATTCACCCAAGGTAGTCTACACAGTGATCTCTAGCAGACAGACTTACGTAGGCACTGGCCAAGACCTTCAGACGCACTCTGATGGTCCACTTCATAAGTGTGGCCTTGCTGAGGACAACCTGGCATGAAACTTGAGGTTATTCTGTTTAAGTAACAGTTTTTCTAGGACAGAGAAAGAGGCACCATTAGCAATAGATGCTGTTAGGGATGATAAGTCTGTCAAGGATTGTAGGCAACTCAAGCACTTGTCACACTGCAGGTTGGAAGTTAAGACCAAAAGGGACAAAGTTGACAGGAACCTAGCAGGCAGAGTCCTGACAAAGTGAGCCATATCTCCCTTCTCTTTCCAGGACTCCCTCTAAGCATACAAAGCGTTGCTAAAAGACAAATATGTTAACAGTTTATGGTGAGATTCTGGTGCTGATAGGGTTATGTCAAGACAGGGGACACCAGGCATTTCTAAATCCAGCCTTGACCTTCTCATGACATTCTGGAAAGATACATAAACACAAGACAATGGTTAGTGGCCAACAAGGTAGAACTCTACTGTCGGTAGAACTCTACTGTCGGCTGGGCTGCTGCTTTTAGCTCCAGTATAGAGCTTTCTGGTTAGATGTAGTATGAGGCTTACTGAGGCCTTCCTTCCCTCAAGCCTCCGTATAACTACCAGCTGGTATGGGCATACCCCACCCCCAGGAAGAAGAGAAGGGAGCATCTTACCTGAGGGCTACAGCCTGTGAAGGTGTGAAGCAGAAAGGAAAGAGAACAGAACTTGGCCTGGCATGCCAGCCTGGGTCCCTCACTGATCTGGCCTTGTAACATCCAAGTCATGGACATGATTTTCTAACGCACCACAGGCTGGATGCTATGTGAGGTGCAGGAAGTACAAAACATAGACCTTGAATTTAAGGCACGTGGAGTCGAGTCAGTGAGGAAGGTGGATGTGCAGAGCAGGCAGTCGTGAATAGTGCCAGAGGCCTAAGTGGCAACCCCATAGTTAACTGCATTTGTTTGCCTTTAGTGTCACTTGCTATATTAACTTACTATTAAAAGCTCATTTTCTGAAAATGAAGCTAAATTTTCTGAAAATTTAGCTTTCTAAAGAAGCTAAATTCTTTAACTTGACATAACTGGTTTGCTTTAATTAACAGTCATCTTTTGACATTCAGGCTACCTGCCCTTTGTTGCAAAACTCTTGTATATCCTGGCTCCCCCCTCGCCTCCTGGGAGCAGTTCTCTCAGGGTTACTTGAGATGCGGCCTCCAGGGCTTGAAGTCCTAAAATTTCCCACCGGATAAAACATAACTCCCAACTTTTAGGGTGTGAATAATTTTTTTAGTTGACAGGTATAAATTATA